TAACATATAAATATAATATATTATTAAATTCATGATTTTTCATTATATAAATGCTGCATAAATAAATATGCATTTTTATAATATTATGATATCTTATATATTGTCGCAAAATTACATTTTTTTTTCTAATTAAAAAAAGAAGAAAAATCGATCAGTACCGACCATACGTGAGAGATAACTGACGTTTTTATTGATAGGTGGCCGCGATATCATTGACCCCAGCATCAGTAAATAGTTAGGTTAGGTTAGGCTCCTTTCTCTTCACAATTGCTATAAGCTGCTCTCGTTTTGTTTCACCCCTTTCACCGTACGCGCGTGCTCGACATCCATTCACTACATTCATCGCTACTACTACGCATCACTACTATTTTACTATCCTTCCCAAAAAACTAGCAGTCTTATCCACGATATCGTGACAGTTGCTTTGTTTAACTTTATTCGCTTCGTCGCGGCTTCGGCTATAAAAGATTTGTGCTACATTCTGCATTAAGTATAAAAGAAATTCAATATTTCTCACATTCTCTAATGATAACTTTTTTTGACATTTGAAAAAAATAAATTTCAAGGACTTTATTTTTTTTTTGCGCTGTACCAGGGCTGAGAAATCGAAAAGAAATCACTTATAAACTCTTATTCTCACTCATACATGCGTGTGTGACATTCACAACCAGTGACAGCCGTTTCGTGTAGTTTCAAGATGGAGAGAAAACAATGTCGTGACTATCGCTCTCGCACAAGGGGGTTGTAAACACAGCCTGGGTCGGTGATTCTGCTAGTTTTGCGTGAGGTCGACGAGAACAGAAAAGTGTAATGGCGAAATCTGTGCTAAGTTCAGACACGCTGCCAAAGGCCGGTCGTGTAAACGAAGGTGAGACTTGTATTTCTCTCTTCAATACCCGCTTCTCTTATAAAATATGAAATTCTCTGTATAAGCTTGATTCTTTATCTTACGCATACGCAATCTTTCCTTCTTTTCACATTTAGATATATATGTATGTATGTAATTCAAGCGTAGGAAATGCAACAAAAAATAAAGTGAAAGATTCTGGAACAAACGCGTCTCACGTCACACAATTAGTCACGATTAGTCATTGCATTGGTATTCATAATGTGAACTTGTACTCGTGTAATTTTGCAGTATGCCGTGAATGGTTGGTACACGAAGACGGGGCATTGGCTTATCGGCTTCAAGATGAAGAAAGTATGTAAAAACTTTATGCTTATATATTTGTCATGTGGATGTATGTATGTATGTCCTTAGGCAATGTTAGATTAGATTCATGCAGGGACATCCAACCAATACTGATTGAATTTTCTATTTTAAGAAGAATAATATACATATATATATATGTGTGTATATATATATATATATATATATATACACATACATACATACATACACACACATATATTAATTCATTTATAATTTAATTTCATGTTTAAGTGGAAATGTGTAAAATTATTCGAAATTAACATTGAGCTATTTTTTCTCGTTCTCGAGTTGACCATAAATACTTCTTGAATTCAAAAGCACAGTCTCAAAAGAGCTTACGAACTTATCCGCCAATGTGATTGCATATACATATATACTTGTATATATACGTGTATGTATACGCATACTCACGCATGTAAAAAGAATGAAAGGGAACAAGGAGTACATGACTATGGCTTTCTACGCGAAACGCGATATAGGCAGGTACAGGTTTAGAGAAGGATGGGGGACGAAGTCCTGTGGAGAGCCAAGGATAATAGGGATGAGTGGGCCAAGGGATATGAATCAAGCTGAGCAAACATTGAACTTGGAGATACGGTGTCGCCGCACGAAAGCTACATACTGTGGGCAAAGAGGGGAACGTACCTCCAAGTACACCTTCGCGATTACAATTCTCGACCCACGAGACCGATTCTCCCCTTCTTTTGCGGGGGAGGAAAGCGCCCTTCGTCGACCGTAACTCTTCGTCCCCAATGCCAGAATATGCATATACCAAATATTGATAGTGCGAGAGACCGAGTGTTTGCGGGGACGTCAGCCGTCGCATAAAATTTTCCGCCGCTTCGTGTCGGAATAGCCGATGAAAGAAAGTGTCGATTATGAGAAAACTACTGGATTATAGACGCGTAGAATCATAGATTTATGAGACGAATGGCAGTTTAAGATAGGCTAATATAGATTTTATTTTGTAATGCTTTTAATATTTTAGAAGAATCCAATTTATTAAGGAATTGCATAAATAATATTAGGCAATATATATAGTACATAGTTATTAAACAATATGATATACTTTAAATTCTTCTATTAATATAAAATTTACAACTTGTATATACGACACATATATTTTCTTATAATTTATAATATAGCATAAAAAATTAATTCTCTTTCGAAAATTATATATTAAAATTTGTAATCCAATTCATCGACGGTTATGTAAAGCCACAAAGGGTTGAAGTCTGTTCAAGTCTGTGGCAAGCTATAAACAAAGAGTTTCAAAAGCCCTCCTCGATGTGAACTATGACTCTAGTGAGATAAGGGCGCGCGCAGCATGGCGAAACATAGCATCTCATCCCGAGGGATATCAGGAAAGTGGCCTCTCCGTCTCCTATTCCTGATGTTTTAGCCAACCCCAGCTATACCAGACCGGAATATCTTAAACGGACAGGGACTTTTTAAGCAAAAACTTTATCGCGTATACGCCGGCAGCAGCAGTCAGGATGACCGAATCGCGCAGTCTGCCAAAATCGCCGGCAATAAATCGTTAATATTCTAATTGGCAAAAAAGAGAGAACACGTCGAGGCCCCCCCGTGGGGAAAAACGGTAAAATACGACTACTCTTCAGATTGATCCCGAATTCGCGCAAATTGCTCGTGAAAGCAGCGGTTACAGCGGCTCGTTTGTATCACCGTTAAATCGATTTGTTTAAATGGAAACGCTAATTTTCAACGTGGCGTCAAGCGCAATATCGTATCTCTTTCCTTACTTTGTGTCAAAAGCGTAAATCTGGGTTTGCAATGCGTTGGATACAAATTTCGGTGATAGCAATTGTCAGTCTTTCGTAAGCCAGTGACACATTTGCGTATTCCCGCGTATGAAAAATGACATTGAACAATTCCACTGTTGAAAGCTTGTCTGGCCGAATAATTAATTCTATTGAACATTTGTCCTCTCGCGAAACATTTTCGCGAAGCTGATTGAGTTTTTAACATCTTTATGCATTAACGAAGGCTGCATATATTTCGCTTTCCGCCTGACACTGTCGTTATTTATTGTTATGTTTGTTATTATTTATGGAAACTTCAAATGGAAATTCCTCGAATGATCGATGCCGCCGAAAGGTGTCTGCGCGTACGGGTACCCACATGAATTTATAACTTTTCTATAAAACCTCCATAACGCGATAACTATATTTCAAATGCCAACATATATTTTACGTTGTACGAAAGATTATTTACGACAATCCTTTGTTAAATATTACGTTTGAGTGACATTCGTTGATAAACAAAATTTCACGTAAATACATTACTTCTTATGAATAATTAATTCATACAGGAAACAGCGAAGTCGAAATAATTAATATCGTAATAGATATGTGTACTGTAACACGTGTTTCCCAATACATTATTGTCATATACATCAGTGAGAGATAAAGTTAAAGTTTGTCGAGAAGAAAGAAGACATGACATAGAATAGAACGAAAGAGAGAGATAGAGAGGATGAAACAGAGGAATTGCGAGGAGAACAAGAGAAGGAAGAGAGAGAGAGAATCTTTGTGCAAGTTGGCACACAATAGCAATGCGAAAGTCAACTCTCTGCCGGGCCGGAAGTCGACGGTCGGCCATCTTGGCAACCGGATGTGCATCCTAAATGTCTCGCAAGGTTTGTACGTATGAATTGTATATGACATTCTCGTTGCCTATCCTCGTCCTCATTTCACCCTCATTTCGTACCTTCTCTTCCTCGTTGGTGCCCTCTATCATTTTACTCTCTCCGCAGCTCCTACTCAACATTATCATTGCTGAGTTTTAACTCGACGGAGACACTTAGTGAGCGACTCGTTCACGGAAGAAGAGACGACGACGGCGACGGCGACGGCGACGACGACGACGACGACGACGATGATGACAGCCAGGAAAATTTCATTCAAAACGACGCAGTAATGCACGCGTGACTGTGTCGCATAGTAGGTGCTACACATTTACGACGGTGCCTTGCGGCGCACACGCATGCCGACAATATAAAGGCAAATAAGAGAACCAGCGAACGAGAAACGTATAAAGCTTCTCGCTAGAGCGAAGAGAGCGAGAAGCGTAAAGCGTAAAACGAGCCCAGAGCTTTTCTCTCTTTCGTCTTCTTAAATCTTCACCGCCAGTACTCAAGTGTTCTCATCATTCAATTTATATTATTTCTTCTCTTTTACCTTATAATCACATATATATTAGGTTGTTCGGAAAGTTTGTTCCAAATTTTACATAGAACTTAGAAGGTTCGAAACAAACTTTCCGAATAACCTAATACAATCCTATGTCGTACTTTGCTTTTTTTTTTCAATTAAGCAATTATTGAGGAAAACTCATCATGCAATGACGTTCTTAGAATATTGCTTAATCCTTCAAAGATAAATACATAAGCAACAAAGAATTAATCTCTTTTAATGAATGATTTTTTAGTGATAACATGGGGAAAAGGAAGAAGACAAAGAATGAGTGAGAGAGAAAAAGTGAGAAAAACTATGTGTGTGTGTGTGTGTGTGTGTGTGTGTGTGTGTGTGTGTGTGTGTGTGTGTGTGTGTGTGTGTGTGTGTGTGTGTGTAGGGGGAGTGTAGGAGTACATAACTTTCTATGTTAAATATTATTTCTTCTAAACATCATGTTTCTTCTTTTATTATGTTCCACATTGACGATACCATTCGTCGAAGTTACATTTTATATGGATTACTTTTTGTTGTTTTCTTTTACTTTATTTATCTACTGCTTGATATATTTCTTCACGAGAGTGACAGTAAGAACGACAAAGCTTCACGATATAACTTTATCAAATTTCATTAGTATCACCCTACTCGGCGTCGTGCTTGCGCAGCTTTATCGTCGTTACTTTACGCCGCGTCACTTGTGAGGCGAGAGATTGGATGGGTTTGATCGATGAAATTGACACGATACTGTCACGAGAGTGTGCTAGATATGACTTTCGATACGCACCGTAACAAACAATAACAATCGGATAACAGAGATAGAGAAGACGAGAAAAAGAGATGAAAAAACGTGATAATAAGAGAGAAATATACATATATTATATAAACAATTGTAGATACAAAATTGCTAGATAATGTTAATATAATACTGTTATATGCAACATTAACTCCCTTTAGATTTTATTTAAAATATATTATTTATATTACATATATCTCTTTATATCTACTATCATTAAAAATAATTGAGATGCAATAATTAATGATATATTCTTGCGGTATATTAAATTTTAATAAGCACATAAACAGAAGGCATAAATTATTTCGGTAGTTGAATTTCTTGGATTTATATGAATGCGAATACGAGAAATTAATTTATTATTCTATTGATGAATAATTTTTCCAATACTATTCCATTGAAATCGAGTAATTACGGAAACCAGTCTATCAGGCAGAGCGCTGGTAACTTCTATTTACAGTTTCTCAATCGATTCGAGATAACGTCAAATGGTAACGCAATTCGCAACACTATAGCGAAATAAAAATTTCTTTCTCACTTGTGATACTTCGTCGTTATCGGTTTCAATTTTCGCCGGAGCAATAATAATCCACCAAGGTGCGCGGTAACTCGCTCGAATGTAACAGAGCGAAACAGTTTAGAGAGAGCGTGATAACTCGCGCGTACGGCCGTTTAAAGTTGACCGAGATAAGGAACGATAACAAATAGTGGGAGAGTTACGAGGCAACCGAGAAACGAGGTCGAAAGATCGGTAATACCCGGGGGAGAGCTTTTTCTCACGAAGCGGTCTTCGTAGGGTATGCCAGGGAGAAAGAGAGAAATAGCGGAAAGGCAACCACCGAGTTCCTGAGAAATATTCTACAAGAGGTTACCGAGACCGTGCATTTGCAGTATCCTGGGATTGCACGTCGGTAAATCCGCGAAATTCTTTGATTTAGTTTACCATTTTTGCCGTCGCCCCCGTGTACACACACATAAGCAGACATTGCCACGGGAGAACGACGGGATGTGCATATA